GATACTTATTTCATGAGATTCTAAAGTAGATAACAAAATTTCAAATGAAGAAAATCCTCTTAAACGGGTCATTTGCCCAATGGAGTACATGCACAGCGCGCTCCCGGTGGAGTTAACATCCATTCAACCTAACACCCCCGTGGCACCATCCACACCACCACCTCAACCCCCATTCCTCCCAACCCAAAAAAAAAAAAAAAAAAAAGAAAAAAAAAGAAAGAGGGAAGCCGCACTTTATTATGGATAAGAATTGTGGCTCCTCATAACTTGATTCACTAAATAGGTACCAGTACTAAGAAAGCAAACTTGCCTATTTCCCAGCCCTTGGGATAAGGAAAGGATTTTGTGTCCAATTGGAATGACACTTTTAAATAACTCGCCACTAAAATAATTGTTAAAGAAACCATGAGCTCAATCATTCGGCACATTTAGGGCCCGTTGGAGCACATGGAGTTGTAATATCTTGGATTTACTAAAATCCACCGTTTGGCTTTCCCAAGGTTATTAAAATTCCTTGAGAATTAAATCTCGAAAAATCACTTAACTTTTTCATGATTTCATTTCTACAGCAAAACATGTCCTTTTTCTCCTTTTTTTTTTAATTTTCAAAGCCCATGGATTCCACTCGTTAGCTCCTCAACCCAATGAAAACATTTGCATGAAAATATTTTTATGTAACAATTACGTTACACGCATTAAATACACAATAAATACAAAAAACTAAATCAAATGCGAGAGAGAGAGTTCCGACAAATTTTTCAAAGAGAAATCATATCAAAATATTTAGAAAAAGAAACTATCTCAAATTTTTAGTTTTAGAAAGAGACAATTTATTAAAATTTTAGAAAAAAACTATATCAAATTTTAGAGAGAGAATACCTAAAATTTTTAGAGAGAGAAAACATCTCAAAATTTAAACCACTTTGCCATCCAGATTTCAATAAGCAGGCTACAAATATGAAGGCCTCAAGGCGACTGTGTCCATATTTGGGGGTTTTCCAAAATAATTGTGTATCTATACATATATAAAAGCTTCTGAATTAACATATCCTTTTTTGTGGATTGATTTTGGTAACAAGGAATGAAGGATATGAGATGGGGTAAAGTAGAGAGAACAGGGTCTCTCCAGGATGAATAACAGCAGCTACTATAGTCACGAATGTTTTTCATGATTTGCAAGCCCTTCAAATATGGGCACCTTATCCATTATAAACATGTTATGGAATTTCTCCTTCCTGGTAGAATGTGTGGAAAACCTTTTTATCTTTTGCACAACATAGCAATAAGAGAACATATTTGCAGGTAACCTGAGGTTTGGCTCTGTAGTGATTTGATGATTCTTAATCTCAATCCTCCTCTTGCTGGTTGTCTTCCACAGTAAGATCCTTGAGCTTTTCTTTCAGCTCCCCAGACTGCATGAGATGAAATAAAAGGAGTTATTGGGACAATTTCACTTCATACATAATCAACCAATAGAACATTAACTGACCTGATGCATGTTAACGATTATATCGGACCCTCCGACGAACTCTCCCTTGATGAAGATTTGTGGAAAGGTGGGCCAGTTGCTGACAAGAATTAAACAACAAAAAAAAAACATCAGGCTTAAGAAAAACTTGGCCCATGATGTTTGCTAATTCACCAAGTGGTGTTAATCCATGTCTTTAAAAAGGAAAAAAAGAAAAAAAAGAATCATAGATAGTGACTTCCTTTTCCTCTCTATATGATGAGTTAGGAGATCTCCTGTATTATAACATTGACTTCCTTTTCCTCTCTATATGACAGAAATTTTATATCCAGCTTCCCATTTGACCCGGACATTAAAATGTAACTGTTCACTTTATCTTTTATTGAGGATGCACATGCAGTCACTCTATTACATATCCTAAGCTCCATGACTATTTTATATGGAAAATTGTTTTATGCAGGCTGGACTGCATTTCTACAATATACGGTCCCAAGGTATAAAGCATCCATTTTAAAGATGGATGCAATTAGGTGGTCCATCGAAAAACAATTGAAACTAACGGTCCAAATGTTTTATTAATAGAATTATTATTCCTAATTTTCAAAATTATTTATTTTTTCATATTCATGATCTCTATGTTAGAGATTACATGTCCTTAAAAATTAAGTTAAAAAATCCATCTCAAAAATAGATTTTTAAGAGGTGACTCATTTCTACATGGAA